TTACAAATGCGGATAATCTTACGTTAATATTTACTATTAACAAATAAATTTGGTCCAAAAAATTAATCAATCAATCGATCATCCGTAGCCGTAGCCGTAGCCGTAGCCGTAGCCGAGCGAGCGACGACGACGACGGCGCGAGGCTTGCTTTCTTCTTAACTCTTTAAGAGTTACAAGAAGAGCAATTATATATATACCCACCAAAAATCTCTTCCTCTTCCAATATGGGACAATGTCTCATTGTCAAGAGGGAGAAACTTAAAATTTTACTCAAAAATTTTATTTTTCCTCCATTTTCCATTCACCCTCATTTTAAGACTATTTCATCTTAAAAACAAAACCTCAACAATTCATTGTATTCTAGCACAAATATATGAGTAGTTCCTCATAATTGAGTACGAGCTTTCATTGAATGAAAATTTTTAACCCTTGATTTAAAAAAAGTAAAAATAAAGCAAGAAAAGAGTTTTAAAAGTTTGAATTGGATATTCCAATTATTCTTAAAAAACGTTAGTTTTTCTTGCACTCTAGCATATATGAGTAGTTCCTTATAACAAGTAATGATAGCACCGAATTTACATTGAGATAGAAAATGTTGACATTTTATCTTAATTAACGTCAGGATAAAAAAAATTACAACAAAAATAGTTTGTTCGAATTTAGTAATTTTATTAATAGCAGTCAAACAAATAAAAATTTATTTAAACAATTTAGAATAGAAAAGAGTCAGAACTTTATAAATATATATTCAATGCAGATACTACAAAAAAAATATATTAAAAAATAAATTTAGATTTACAGTAAATTTCTGAAAGATTTTTATTTAAATTATAATTTATAAAATATTTTATTAATGACAATTACAACTCAAATTTATATATGCACAACCTATATGGCTATTATAAAACACTAACTTTCAACATGTAATGTTTATGACTTTTTTTACCTTTCCTAAGTGAAATCGATCTTAGATAAAAGTAACCACAATTAATTTAAAATTTTATTATTTGATTTGGATCTTGAGGATTTCTTCATTTATCAAGCTAGCTAAATAGGATAAATATTCATCATTTTCAACATTAACACTTTTTTTAATTTTTGTTTTATAAACGTTTGTGTATTTATATTTATTGAACTATATTGAAAGTCCTACTATTAAATATTTTGTATATATCTTTTCCTTATTTGAGCTATGTAGCAACAACAATTTTGCAAAAGAAAAGTAAGATCAAAATGAAAAAATCCACAGAGAATAGGTAAAATATAGTTATTACCTGTTTTGTGTTTGAATTATTGCATTCCTTCGATTTCTTTATTCTTAATTATAGATTTACAACCACTCCCAGAAGTAAAACCAATTATGTTATATAATTTAATTATCTTAAATAAAAAATAGAGAAAGACCTTTTGTGAAAAGTTATACTTGATTCTTTGAGTATACATTATTATGTGTATTACCTTTTAATTAAACATTTCTTCCACGTACACGAAAATGCAAATACATTAAATTATTTTAATATCCATAATTGTTGTACTCTTTAACTCAACATCAAATCTAGAAATAGCTGTGAAATGGCACTTAATAACAACACGTCATGTTATGAATAATTTGATTATAATTAAATAACCTATTACAGCTTTATATTTATTGATATATGGTACATACGCAAAACACGTATCTTAAAGATAGTATATATAATATACATCAAATGGTGCTTAGACAAGATTTAAATTTTAGCGTTCTACCTAAAAAGAATTCAAATATAAATATCAATAAAATTTCAACTTTAAGAATTCAAATAGTATCGAGTGGGAATAATATATTCCTTTTTAAATATAGAATAGAACTCCTATTTACTTGAGGTCGAGCAAGAAATAACGGAAAGCGGCGTTATAAGCAAAGCCCAGAACACAAAAACATAAACTAGTTGTGTCCTTTGAACTGTGGGATTGGGAAAAATCCGTGTGCTCCTTTGTTCAACACGAACTGTATAAATATATATAGACAATTTGTACTTCCCCTGGACCCTTGTCTCGTTTAAGGTTGTTCTCTTTTCTCTCTGCGCTTTCTTCAAAAATCAAAAGGTATTATCACGTTCACCAACTCTTTTCCTTTTCTTCAAAAATCAAAATTGAATCTTTTTGTTTGCATGTATTAATTTTGGCCTCCTTTTGCTGTTGGGTTCATCACTCTGTTCTTATTCTAAAACATTGAACTTTTACTTATGTTCTCGTTCTTACCCTTTGCGTTATACATTGTATTTTCTTTTTGTTGTTGTGGGTGTGGGGTTGGTGTCTTTCTTGGATAAGTAACTGATACTGAATTTTGGGGGAGTATTTTCACAGAAAAAGTTTTGGTTTCTCTACTGGTTCTTTGTTTTATTATATTGTGATGGCATTAGGCGGAACATGTTTATTTATCTGTTTATTTTTTGCATCTCTTTTCCACATAATTTAGGACTCTACAACTGTATTGGTTGATATCTGCACTGTCTTTATTTGGAATTTGGAGAAAAATTGAATCTTGATTTATAAAAAGGTGAAAGGCTTTTGTTCTAATAAGCATGTATGTTCTTGAAATATGCCATAGGAGTCTCTCTATATATATTTCAGGAAAAGTATATACAAAATCATGAATTTGTTCATGTTAAGTAAATATACCATTGTTCCAATCGTCTAAGCATATATTACTAGTAGGGTACTATTTATCTTTCAAATTACTTGTAATTAAATTCTCAGTTATCACAAATAAAAAGTGTAGCTTATTATTTGAAGTGAAAGTGATGTTTGTTTATTCAAACAGTGTGCTCCATCTCATTCTTTCTTACTTATCAAGATTCAAGGAATAAGTTTTTCATCTCTCGGCTTTTGCTTCCTGTGCATTGTTAAGTAAGTGACTGGCTCTTTTCAAAGAACCTGACTTTATTATTTTATGTTTGACATATTCATAGGTGTATTAGACCTTTCATTTAGATACATTATATAGATATAAAAAGAGGGAGTTGCGGTAGGTTAACGACTAGCATAGAAGTAGTCGGATGAATTCTCTGGAGTGCAGCTGTTTTAAATCTTTGCTTTTTTAGTCCTTTCGTTCTTTTTCTTTGACAGCCGTTTCTACAAGTTATTTACATTGCTCTTCATCACCAGTACAAATTCCCTACTTTTGCCGAAGTAGAGCTGGTCTACACAAAATTGGATCATCTTTAACTATCATCATTACCCGTTGGTTATTGATCTTAATGTAAAAAAACTTGCATTTTGTGAACCCTTTTCACTACTATTCAAGTTATTGCTGGAAAAATATGCCCCTGGAACTGATTGTTAGTACTTGTTTTAGGAAAAATGATCAAATTGTTCAAAGTTAAAGAGAAGCAAAAAGAGGCTAATGAGAATGGCAATGGGAAGGGCCCTTGTAACAAGCAGACCGCTGGGGAACTGCGTCTACACAAAGGTTTTGATATTCTCTTTTTGCTTGATATTTACTCTTCTATTGTTTTTCTGCAACATAATTTTGTTTGGAGTGTGTTTTATTCGGTTGAAAATTAAAATCAGCAATCAGAGCAACATGTATTTTGGTGCAGTAATTGGTATGGAAATATCTAGAAACTGGGTGATATTAACGTGAATACCAGGATGAAAGAACATTAAATTGAATTGGAAAAAAAGAATTCTCGTTGGAGAAGGAACTCCATAAATTGCTCAATTGGTAAAATGATGAGGATTGTTTTGGTCTATAGATGTCAAACCGCAGGCCTCCAATCCAAGGAGGATGAAAAATATTTTGTAGATTGAGTGCTGATGGATGTGAAGGAGCAAACTGATGCCAATTACTTTTCTGTTTGTGAATCGTGTGTGGTCCTGATTTGCAGCATTAACCATTACTCGATTTCCAAGGATGATGTTGATGATCTTATTGCTTTCTGCATTCAAGATGGTTATTATTGAGGTGTACGAGCAGTGTGCAGTGCCTCTAGCAAATGCGTAATCATACATGCTGATTCAATTTCACCAGGAATGTAACTAACTTGTTACTAATCACCGTGTCTCTCCAAGAAGAGATGCTTTATATACGTAACACGCTATCTTCCATCCTTTGAAAATATATTGGTGCCTGTTCTCTTTCGAGTATAAATACATTGAGTGATTGATCAAGAAAAAGATGCTGTGTCTTTTTTTTTCTTGGTTTTGGGGGGGCTGAATTTGTTTGTGAATGCTCAACTGCGATTGCATTTTTTCACTGTACTATTCTTTTCATGGTCTTATCATGAGGTTGTTTGATTTGTAATTTCCTTTCAATCTTTGTTATGGTAAAGTACTCTCGCTTGATACTTACTCCTTCAACTCACTCTTTGCAGACATAACCGAGCTGAACCTGCCCCGTTCTTGTACAATATCATTTCCTGGTGGGAAGGATAAGCTGATGAACTTTGAGATTACAATTAAGCCATATGACGGATACTATGCGTAAGTAATTTCTACTGCACAACTGTTCTTTTCTTTTTTGTTCTTCTTAGTGTAGAATCTAGAACTTCTACATATCGAGCATAATTGTTTCAAGAAGGTGCATTCCACTTTTCTGCACTTTCAGTTAATATAATTACTGCACAATCATGTTGATTCTTATCTAAACAACAACTTGATTTGGTGTTGCAGTGGTGGAAAATTTCTATTCTCTTTCGAGGTTCCATCAATCTATCCACACGAACCACCAAAAGTAAAGTGCAAGACCAAGGTACAGCTATTCCCTCTCCGTTTCTTGCTCTCCCACTCGTATATATTCTGGCATACACTGGACACTGTGATTCTGTTTTTCATTAGCTTTATGTGTGAGATGCAGGTATACCATCCTAATATCGATCTGGAGGGTAGCGTCTGCCTCAACGTACTTAGGGAAGATTGGAAACCTGTTCTCAACATCAACACAATTGTTTATGGATTATATCATCTTTTTACGGTATTGTTTTGCTCTCTCCAACATCTTGTTTGTTACATGTAAATGCACAGTCAACTTATCCCTGTTCGACACCTGTACAGGAACCAAACCCTGAGGATCCTCTTAATACTGATGCTGCTGCTGTGTTGAGAGACAGGCCTGAGTTGTTCAAATCAAATGTGAGAAAGGCTATGTATGGTGGGTGTGTGGACAACATAAGCTTCGCACGATGCGTGTAGCCAAGGGGTGTTCATCGGTCAGTTTGTACGGTTTTGAAAGATTTTGATTAGGTATTTTTGGTTTTCGATTATAAAAATATTAAATTTTACCAATATCATCTCAAGATAAATTTGGTATGGTTCGTCTTTTTCTTTTTTGGTTTCAGTTTGTATGGTTAGATATTTTCAGTATTTTATTTAAACTTACATTCTATCAACCAAACTTATAATCGTAATTCATGAAATTGAATTTTCAGACTCAAGCAAAAAAGAAAAAAAAAACTAAATGAGAACAAATTAAACCAAAACATTAATGATGTTTCATTCTAAAACAAGATTCTCGTTCTTTGCTTGAAAAGAAAAGTAAAATAAAAACATAACACATAATATATTATTAGGAGCCAAATGTCATGAACTATCAAATTTAAAATGAATATATATGCATTCAACTAATTTAATTTAGGATAACAAATTTCACTGACCATATTAATCACACAATAACTAAACAATAAAATCTCAAGTTTAAACTTATTAGCCGATGTTGCAAGTCCTAAACAAGGCTGGTTCAAGTCTAATGACACTAAACAAGGCTGTTTCCGATAGAAGTTCTATTGGAAACAACCTCTCTACTCCCTTGGTTAGAGGTAAGGCCTGCGTACACATTACCCCAAACTTCACTTGTGGGATTTTACTGGGTCGTTGTTGTTGTATTATTATTATTGACGTTAGTTGTGTAAATACTGGTCTTAGCATGGTATATGGCTCCAATGAGAAGGGAAGGAGCCTATGTATTTGCATGACCCCTACAGATTTAACCCTATCTATACCCGGAGCTACTCCCCTAGCGGTCCTGCCACCACGCCGCGGAACGGGAGCTCGTGTGGAACCTTTTATTCTAGCATAATAGTGGTAGAACGTAACAAAATATTACGGCTGCCTAACATAGGGGATGGAGATACGGTAAACTCGGCCAAAATATGAGATCTGAAGGGCGCTAAAATTAACTATCTATCCTGACTACATTGCAAGGGTGAACGTAAAAAAGAAGTCATGTTAAAACTCTATTGTTTTATAAAAACATTTAATATTACACTGAAAACGATCTTGGTAAGAGGATACATTTGGTTATGTTGCTTTTTTCTAACTTGAAAAGTGGTAGGTTTTACATGTAACATAGACAAACATGCGAAACCCATCTCTCACCCCTCTATCCAGTCTGACATTACAAAAGCAACTACTTCAGCCAGACATATTCTTTGGTAAGCAAATGCATCCTCTTGTTCCAGCACCAGTACATTTTTGAGTTTGATAGGTTAGATGAGATTAGTAAACCTGTTGTGCTGGTGCTACCACCATATGACATCTCTGCAAAATTAGACAGGAAAACTGTTGTTTTGGCCTACAGCAGTGCAGTAGGATTTCATCAATGTGGTCACAGAGAGAAACTCCAAATCCAAATGAACTGAACTTGCCATATGGACACTAAGAGTCCAAGAAGAACGGATTAACAAAGAAATGAGAAATGTGGTATCATCATATCATCTCTGTTTCTTTTGCAGCAGCAAGTCTTGCATTTTCACGGTCCTGCTTGAATGTCCAATACAAAGGGGTGTAAAACAAGCAACATAAACCAAAAGGAACAACCATCATTGAAAACAGGCCTTTCGACAATGCTAAAGCCTCTCTTGTAGATCCTAATAATGGATCAACTGACTTGGCATCATAACCATACATTTTCTCGGCGAGAATTCCTACAATTGGAGCAGCAAAAGAAGAAAATGAACCCTCAAAGGCACGATCAAAAGCATATATCATGGTGCGGTGTTTCGAAGGCACCACTTCTGCAAACATTGGACCATTTGTAGCAGTAGCACACCAGCTGATTGTGAGGCCCATTATGAATAAAGTCACAGCAAATGTGGAGTAGCTGCTTACAGACTGGGGGATAACTCGGAGAATGAACCATGAGAACGGGATGCCCATGAAAGAACTGAATTGAGCACACATGACACGCCCTGAATGAGGGTATATTCGAGACATTCTGTCTGCAACTACTCCACCGAAAAAGGATCCTAATGCGCATCCAGCAGCAAATAGACCGACAAGTGCTGCTGCACTATTATGATCAAAACCTGCATCATAAGTTCATGATCACCGTTGACGCACTTAACACCCGTAAAAGAAATGTTCATCAGCACAAGAAAAAGTGACATACTAAATCTTGAAAAAAGGCCACCTACCGATTAATTCAAACCACAGTGTAAAGAAAACAAAGGCTGTCCAAGGTAGGGATCCAACTAGACCCTGCAAAACAATGAACTGAAATGTTTGAACTTTGATGACACTTCTCATGGCTGTCCAGGACTCCATCCAAATTGACATTGAATTGATATTTGAATGTTCCTTCTCTATCAATTCTTCCCTAAAGCGTAAGAAAAGAAAACTCAAAAATAACAACAAAGAGTAGAATCTGCTTAACTACAGAATAGGAAATGGAGCAACAACTAACCAACATAAAGGTGGATAAACAAGTAACTACCTGTCAGAATGCTTTGAAATATCACGCTGGCCGCTGGCTTTTTTCCTTGGGTCAACAACAAAAGAGAAAACAAGAAATCCTATCAAAGTACTCAAAGTTGCCATCACGAAAAAGGCAAAGCGCCATCCTGGTATGCCCCAGAATTCATGACCAGCCATAACTGTAGCTATAGCTCCGCCTCCTATCCCACCCACAGTACCAATTAGATTAAGAAACCCGAATCCCGTTCCTCTGACTTCATCCGTATAGCTATCAGCTATGAAGGACTGCAGTGCAGGTATCACAATTGCCAGACCGAAACCATTTACTGCTCTCCAGAAAGCAACCTGCATAAAATACTTACTCGCACCCACTGCACCGGTTGATAGGGCCCAGAAGAGGATACCAATTGCAAGAACCGTGGGACGGTCATAATTTAAAACTAAAATACCTGCCACCGGTGATGCAATTCCCTGCACAAAGTTCCTTATGAATGTGAGATACCCAAGATCAGATGGTCCTGCTGTAAAAGCTTCACTGACTTCTTTGTAAACAGCTGGAAGGAGATTCTCATCAGCGCGCTCCATTATAGCGGCCATGTTTATGATGATTAGGGAAAGGGAAATCCCAAAAATTGTCCTTGTTCTGTAGTGGGCCAACATATTAAAATCTAAAGTAGAAATGCTACAGTAAATATGTATAAGAAGAATATTCTCTCAGAAATCAAATGGATTGAATGATATTGCATTATATCTCTTTTGGGGCTAAACAGTTTTTCAAGTTGGATTATAATCAGCATATACTAGGACCTGAAACAAAGAGGGGTCACATTTTCTCTAGCAGGCAATATCATCTTATGGTAAGATCAAAAGTTTGATCCGAGGAAAAGGTAGTTTTTTTTGTTTGATAAGGGTAAATTTTATAGAAGCTATGAACATGATCAGTAGAAAGGGTAATACAAATAAAAAATACATCTTTCAACAGTCAGAACCTAAATGCTCGAACAAAGCGCTCCTGCAGTTGATTGATGTAACATTGTAGAAGACCTAGACAACAGGTTCAGAAAAGAAGGTAAACTGAAGCTTAATAAAATATGCAATAGAAATCACTGCCTTCTAACTTGTAAGTATGAGTTGTTAGCTGCTACATCTGACTATTCAATATAATCAGCGTCTTATCTGTATAAGTTGCAGTATTTGGATCTATGGACACCGAGAATAACAGGTTCAGGTCATGCTAAGAGCCAAACTTGTTGCACCACTTAGCGTCATGAAATAGGATAGATGAATAGTCCAAGTCTCAGGATGATGAAAACTAAGAGCGATAAACTCAATTAAAATGTGTGGATTACTTTGATCAGAGATTTGACATCATTTTCATGAATTATGCCCCACATAGCTTATAAATTCACCCATCTTGTGTCTCATCGCTTATGTGTGTTTACATTGCAGTATCTAAATGACAACACTGCTTAAAAGAATTTTTTCTTCTACAGGTCATGTGGGCATGTTAATCCATCTGAAAGTCTTTCAATCACTAATTCACTAGAACTACAGTATTCAACGTTTAACACACGGAACACTTTAAAGCCTTACATTAAAAGGTCAAAGAACAAACAATAAAAAATAGATTGATGCTGTTACTTAGAAATTTACTGTTGAAAGCCCATCTAAACCAGGGTACAGGACAACTAGGTCTAATTGAACGAATGAGTGGCTATCAAGTATCAACATATTCTCTGAAAAGTCGAAATTTTCAGGAGGGCATTGCGTTATCATGTGCTGAGATTAAAACAAGCAGAAGATAAGTTAAAGAAATTTCAAACAAAAACCATTTATCCGACCAACTGATGTGAAAAAACGTATGAGTAAGTAACATGTCGCATTGAAAAGCAAATGAATGATTAAGAGGTCCAAATTCACAGTTTTGGCTACACATCAAGAGGATTCAGTTCTCCATCTCAATGCAGTTCGAAATGAGACAACTGAAGCTTTGTATAGCAGCATATTGAAAGTGAATCTCAATCTATCCCATAACTTCCATCAAAGGAGCAGTTGCACTGATTTCCAATTGAAAAAGTATCAAATCCTATTACCCGAAGGATCACACTGCAATATGTTCTGCCCCGATGGAAAGACCTATATGAGTAGTATGAAAGCTTATAACATTCAACAGAAAGCGGAGAGATACATGTTTACTAACTAAATGCAGCTGCATGTGTTCCTCAAGGCAAATCACCTTCCATTTAAAACTCAGTTTGTATTTTAATTTTACAAGCTTGTCTATGTAATCAATTGCATCTACTCCAACTCAAATGGAGTCGAGACTTTCCCTTTAGCAGGTCCACTTAAGGAAGAGTTTTTCTTCCTCTTTTGCTGGGGATTTGGCTGATCTTCCCAGTGTCACTTACTCTACTTAACTGCTGTTAAACACAACAAAAGAGAAAAGTGTTTCCACTTGGTAGCAATTAACTTCATCAAATTCAGACTTAATGATCAATTAAAGTTCATTTGTTTTTTATCTGCACCCATACCCTAGGGATCAATATTGGTATCTCACTTACAAAACTCTCAACCTATCAACATCCTCTCATCTAAAACATGCATTTCTTGAGAAAGCTTGTGGACAACATCCAGAATCAACTCTAACACCTACAAAATCAGGAAAACAACAACCTTGATCTAACAACCACTCTAATACTGTAATTGCAGAAAATATCTGAATCCTGCAAACAAAAGCTGACAGAGGAGAGTAAGGTCCTACATGTAAATAAATACTCCCTATGTTCCATTTTATATAACACTTGCCCCACATGTGGGAATACACTGGGTATATTTTTGTTGTTGTTGTTGTGGTGTATTCCATTTTATATAACACTTTCCGTGTTAATTTATTTTTGAGAAAAAGATATCTTTCCACACTTTGAAACTCTTTTAACTTTAAACTTAACCTTAATGACGTGCTTTTATAATCATAACGACGCCATGACATGTTTAAAACCGCAAGTTCAAACAAAACTTTTGGTATGTGCAAAAAGCCTTTCTTTTTAGTTTTTACCTTAAACTCAATACCAAACCGCTGTTTAAAATGAAACAGATGAAGTGCCGATGTATCAATATCTATAAAGGACAGCCCGCCCGATGCACTAAGCTACCGCTATGCGCGGGTTCAGGGAAGGTTCGGACCACAAGGGTCTATTGTACGCAGTCTTACCCTGCATTTCTACAAGAGGCCTGGTCATATGGCATCAACTTTACCAGTTATGCCAACTTTACCAATGTATCAATATCCATAATGAATCCAAAAACCATAAAGAAACATTTAACCTCCATGAAACTACAACCACATAGTGGAATAGAAACACACACGAAAAAAAAAAAAAATTCAACAATTAGTCCTATGCCTCAATATCAAACTAGCTCAGACCGTATATACCAATATCCAATATCCATTTGAACCCGGTTGAAACAGAAAAACAAACAAGTACATACAATATAAAGAAACAATAAGAGTGAAATATAACCTCATGGTGTGAAGGTGCCTGGGTAGCAAAGATTTGGGTCGAAAAATAGAAGAACCAAATCTGGAAGCTCTAGCGGTTAAGCCCATGGGATCCCAAAGGAAAAGTCAACCTTTAAGGTTAACCAACGACCGGTCTGGGGCACGAGCCATTCAACGTGGGGGTTGCCTGACTATTTATTTGCCGCGCACCAATCCTTGTTACAAAGATCTAATTAAGTACTATATTCAATATATTAAAATAAAAAGAAATTTTCCTTATATAGATCTGTGGAGCAATTCAGCAGGCAAGATTCTATTTTCTCGTCATTATCCTCATTTTATAAATATAGAAATTATGTAAGAAAAAAGGAAGGACGTTTTGGTGGAGAGTTTGGTGATATTTGATTGTAACTGGTAACGGAAAGATTTTGCCAAATACTTGACAACAACGCTGTTCAAATCGAACTGGAAAAATTAAAAGTCAAACCAAATCGATTAAAAAATCCGATTAGGTTTGGTATTTGGTGAAAAATCCGAATCAAACCAACATATAAATATGTAATTTTTATATATACTTTTAAGACTTTATATAGAATTTTCTTTAAAAAATATCTAAAAATATTTGAGATCCGCTCATAGAATGTAATATTTAATAAAATTATGAAGTGCATTTATTTTTATTTACTTTAAATAATGAGTTGCATCACTTTCTTATTAAGTGTTATTTAAATGGGTCAATCATCTCTTTGTTCTTCCATATTCATATGTCAAGATTTCTTATATCTTTCGAATTTGAAATGGTATTTCGATAATTTAAAATTAAATAGAACATTTCATTATTTAGGTATCATATTGATTTTTATGTTTAATTATTAAATTCTGTTAATCTTGAAAGCGTACATCAAATGAAAAATTATTGTTAGACGATTAAGAAAATAACTATCACGTGTTACTAAAAAAAATCTCCATAAGAATATTTTAATAGGTCATATATTTGTAATTTTTTTAATTTTTACTAAACATACATTAACTTATCAAAACTTTATCGATAACGTTAACAAGTAATATTAAAATAATATTTATGTAACAATCTGAAAAACCCGAAAAATCCGACAAAATCGAACCAAATCAAACCAAACCGATATAGTTGGTTTGGTTTGATTTTGATAAAATCCGAACCAATCCGGTCCATGTACACCCCTACTTGACAATATACAAAGTCAAGGCCAAACATGTAATAACAATGCTCTCCTACGCGCTTCTAGTCATGGCGGGATTTTTACCAAAGAAAATTTAAACAATAAGAAAAATAAACACGCAAAGAAGTTAAAGGAGTTTCAAAATCTAATATACCATATATATAAAAAAAGAATTAATCATATATACACAGTGTAATTTTCGGGCAAAGGATTCACACGCTCACCTAGCTCCAGTCGTGCTTTAAGTTCTTATTGACTTCTAATTACAGCACAGTAAATTAAAGCTAGGGATAAGAATATAACGTCTCTATTAATATTAACAATAGCTATGCAATAAAGAGCAAAGATCTCCTTCCCCTCTCCACTGTGAATAACAAAAAGATTTGAAAAAAATAAGAAATAAGATTAAAATAAGTTAAAGTATCTAGAAGGCTTTCGTAGGATGAAGTAATAATTATTGCTAGAATAGTAGAATTACTTAAAACTGATTCCAGATTAGAAAGTTTCTAAAATACTATTAGTACATTGAAAAGTTTGTCTAGCACCACCTTATCAACGAATTCTGGCTCAACTACCTAAAGCTTTCTCATTGATCATGAAAGAAAAAGAAAAACTACTCTATTGCGTTCTTGCAAAACCCTAGAGAAAAAAGAAAAGGACATGCCGAGCTGGGAAATGACTTCTTTTCAAATGAATGTGTACTTTTAGCAAGTTGTGTTTGGTCAAATTATTTTTGGAAGTGCTTCTGTTAGTACACGAGAAATAGGGTTAAATTTCACGAATTGTTATATAACTATGATTTTTTTCTCACCAAAGTCATATAACTTTGTTTTCTCACACAAAAATCATATAACTATGATTTTTTTCCACCAAAGTTATATAACTTTGTTTTCTCACACAAAAATCATAGTGGTTGGAAAATAAATTTTTCCGTAGTATTTTCTAATTTTATGTTTTTTTATTTTTTATTTTCAGTTTAATAAATAATTACCCATTTAAAATAAAAGAAATATGAGTATATTGTTAACTACTCCTAAAAAAATAGTTGAGTATATATATAATTTTATATTTTTTCCTTAAAATAGAAATGACCCAACCCAACCTGACCCAATACTCGTATACTTAAGTTAAAATAATATTAAAAGTGAATTCTTTCCCCATAAAAAATTTAGTTCGGAATGCATGAGATTCTGACAAAAAAATAAAGAAATAAAAGGTATAATTATAGAGCACTTGAAATAAAAATGCTCTCAATTTAAATAAAAATCTTGAAAAGAAAAATAAAAGATAGAAGTATCATGTTTTGAAGGCTTTACTATTCACTTTTAGTATTATTTTAATTTATATGTATGAGTATTGGGTCGGGTGGGCCAGGTCGAGTTGAGTCATTCCTATTTTAATTGGGTTATTATTTATTAGACTGAAAATAAAAAATAAAAAAACTACAAAATAAGAAAATACTACAAAAAAATTATATTTTTCGATCAGTATGATTTTTGTGTGAGTTAGTAAAAGTTTTCTGATTTTTGTGTGAGAAAACATAGTTATGTAACTTTGATGAAAAAAAAAAGTCATAATTATATGATTTTTGTGTTAGAAAATAAAGTTATATGACTTTAGTGAAAAAAGTACGGTATATGACCATTTGTGAAATTTACCCCGAGAAATCATATATGTTTGGCCTACATTTCAAAAAGTGATTTTAAGTATCAAATTATGAAAATGGACGTGTAACTATTTACTTTACAAGTAATGTTATTTGAATAGATAAATAATTTGAAATATTTTTCATGAGAAACTTTAATTAAGTTTGTGTTTGACGAATTGATGTGTATCTTAGAGATGAGCCAAGAAAAGAGAGTGTGAGAGACATATGGATTAAATTAAGAAAAAACTTAGAATCACTTATTTTTTTCCGGCCAAACACCTTTTAGTCTCCAAATTAAGTACCTCTGTTTTAAAATAATCACATCTGATTTTTTAGAAGTTTAGCCAAGCTGGAGAACGCTCTACTTTAAGCTTTGAACTGTTGGAAAATATTGCAATGCAGGCTTCTATGTAGCTTTCTAGGTCTATCTCTTTTATTTTTCTTAACATAGCTTGGTGAAGGATTAGGTATAAACCCCAATTTATTAAAATCTAGCCATAGGTTCCACCATTAATGAGTTCTAAGAAGAGAGAGGAAGAAACAATCAGAGAGGGGCAGAGAAATGAGATCAATTTTCTCTGTTAGTTGCCTTAATGCAAAAATGAGTTGTACATAGTCTATTTATTCTAATAGCTAAGTAACCAACTTAACCGACTAACAGTAAAATACTAATAACTAATTTCCTAACTGACTATCTTCTAGAAGGGTACAACTTAAATACAGGAATGTACAACCATTTACAACTCTTTTAATGCCAACACTCCCCCTCAAGTTGAGAATGAGAAAATGTCTTTCATTCCCAACTTGAAGATTAATGTCGCATGTTGCTGGTGTCCAAGTGCCTTTGTTAGAACATCTGCTGGTTGTTCTTGGCTAGCAATGTAGAGGGTCTTAATCAACCCTTCTTGAATTTTTTCTCTAATGAAATAGCAATTTATCTCTATGTGCTTCGTCCTCTCATGGTATATAGGATTTGCAGCAATTTGCAATGCAGCTTTGTTATCACAAAACAACTCTATGGGCAGCTTTAAATCCACATTCAGTTCTTTCAATAGACCACTAAACCACACAAGTTCAGGCACTGTGTGTGCCATGCTTCTATACTCAGCTTCAGCTGAGCTTCTAGATATTGTATTCTGCTTCTTGGCTTTCCAAGATATGGTTGAACCTCCAAGCTTAATGCAATGTCCAGTAACAGATTTTCTTGACATAGGATATGAGGCTCAGTCTGAGTCACATAATGCTTCTATCTCTTCAATGCTGTTACTAGACATTAACAATCCCAGCCCTGGTTGCTTCTTAATTTATCTTATTACATGAACTGCTGCTTCATAATGAGACTTTTTGGGTACATGCATAAAATGACTTAGAAATTGCACTACATATTAAATGTCAAGTCTTATTATTGTGAGATACAAAAGCTTCCCCATGAGCCTTTGGTGGCTCGCCTTGTCCTCCTATAACTCATCTCCATTATTTGTGATTGTGCATGCATCAAACTTTGTAATTGTCAACTTCAAGTTCTGCTCCATTGGTGTCTCTTTAGGTTTAGAACCTGCTAGGCCTGCTTCAGATATCATTTCTAAGGCATATTTTCTTGGAAACATGAGAATTCCCTCATTTGACCTAGCAAACTTTATGTCTAAGAAATATATGACCTCCCCAAGTTCCTTCATCTTGAAATGTTGATGCAGAGCTTCCTGAGCAAGCTTTATTTCCTGCAAATCATTTCCTGTAACAAGAAGGTCATCTACATAGACACGTATCAGTACAAACTTGCTATCCACATTCTTGGTGAACAATGAATAGTCATGTTTACTTTGCTTAAAACCAGATAGAGACAAGGCTTGAGATAGTTTCAAATTCTACTGTCTAGATGCCTGCTTTAGCCCATAGAGGGATTTGAGTAGCCTACAAACATTATGCTTCCCCTGGCTACTAAGTCCTTGGGGTAAAGTCATAAAACTTCCTCTTCAAGATCTCCAGTCAAAAAGGCATTTTGGACATTCATTTGAAATACATGCTAGTGTTTAAGAGCTACAGTGGTAATGACAGCCCTCACAGTTGTTAGCTTAGTCACAGGGGAGAATGTATCATAGAAATCCTACTCCTCCTGTTGTGTGAAACCTTTAGCAACCAATCTGACCTTGAACATCTCTACAGTAGCATCTGCCTTGTATTTTATTTTATACACCCACTTGCGCCTAATGGGTATCTTGCCAGTAGGTAAGTCAACCATGGTCCAAGTGTTATTTTGGTCTAAAGCCTCAATCTCAAGCTCCATAGCTTGAACCCAGTTGTTATCCTGACTAGCTTGATGGAAATAATAAGGTTCAATATCAGTAGAAAAAAAATAAGAAATGTTTTGAAAGTAGCAGAAAGATGAGAATAGGATACAAACTGTTCAATGGGATGAGAGATGGAAGAAGTAGATGGCAAGGGTGGATGGACATAATCAGACAAATAAGTGGCTTACTAGTTCTGCCTGATTTTCTAGGCTGAGAGATGACAGGCGAGACAGGTAGACTA